CCTACACACATTGAAAAAAATCAACATCATGCCCTAACTGGAGAAATAAAGAAATAATTAGGAATAAGATGATCTGTATTTCAATTCTCAGGGGTAAATATAATACAAGACAAAATGAGCCAGTTAGGGGCTCACCTCTATGTACATGGATGCTTTTTTGTTCATTTTTGTTTTTTTTTTTTTTTTTTTAAAGTAGGCTCCAAGCCCAACATGGAGCCCAACATGGGACTTAAACTCACAAACCCTGAGATCAAGATCTGAGCCACTCAAACAACCCCATACAGGGTTGTGCTATGCATGATTAAAATATTGTAAATGTGTTGCTGTGGGTGACATAATTTTTCAAAATTATAAGAAAAAGGAAAGCCCTGATAAAGTTGCAAACAACACAAAGTTCAGTCTTTCCTCGGATGACATAGTAGTTACACTCCTGGGAAATTTGGTGTATATTTAAAGCCGTACAAAAAAATACTCTATATGTCAAATGAGGTAAGATCTAAGTTCAGGTAGGATCTAAGTTTTTTTTTTTTTTTAATAAAAAACGGTTGTCAGCTGTGTGAAGTCCTGGGAGGACATGGAGGTGGAGGGACCTTCCTTTGTGGTGTTCAAAGACGGAACACAACTTGGCAAACCTAGGGGTGATGAAGAGTCATGAAACCTAGATCCCCTGCCAACTCTACTTGTGGATGTTCACAGGTCAGTGCTGGCATGCACACATCAGGAGACACAATGGCATTGTTTCTGTGTGCGATGATGACAGAACAGAACAACTCAGGTCTCCATCAACAGAATCACAAATGTGATGTATTGACACAATGGAGTATCACACAGCTGCGAAGATGCATGAATCAGAGCCCCAGGTAGCCAACATGGATCAATCTTGAACGTTGAGCCAAAAAAGCAAGGTTGGGAATGACGTGTGGAATAACATGCCAGGCATGGCACCCCCTCTCACCCTGCTCCAGGGAACAATGCTCAAGGCTGCCATCCTCAGGGTGGCAGGATGCAGGAAGGTCTTGCCTATCCCTCCTCGTCCTTGGGGTCTCTGCCTTCTCTGCAGGAGCAAGTGCGGGGGCTCTGGAGGCCCGAGGAGAGCAATGGGGAACAGGCCCATCTCTCTCATTAGGAGCTGCCATGGAGGCCAGGCCTCAGCAGGCTTGATAGGAGTTTTCTCAGGAAGATGGAGGAGATGGCAAGAACCATGGGTGGGGATGGAAAGAGAGAAAGAAAAGGAGCAGGAAAGAAGAAAACGGAAGAGGAGGGAAGAAACAGATGCTCTGATTCAGGGAGGCCTGGACTACAGGCACTGACCTCCCAAGGTCTGGATTCTGAGGCCCAAGCAGGACGAAATTGTAGTAGGATCTGTGGCCTGGGGCCCACCCCCTCTTCTGTGTTTCCTGGTCATCTTACAGGTACAGGGCTCCACACCCCAAGGCAAGGGAGGGGCTGGACTGGGCAGCTCTGACACCAGTTCCTTCCCCACTCTTTCAAGCTGTCAATAGCAGGTTTTCCTGCTGTGCCCACCAAGGGCCCTGAGTTACCCATGGTTTGTTTTATTTGCCAGCACCCTCTCCACCTCTTCTGGGGACTGCTCCTGCTTGCACACCCACTGGGCTTGGCACAGTTAATGCCTTACATGCGCCAATGCATTTCAGCCTCAAAACTACCTAAGAATGGAGGGATGCTTGGGTGGCTCAGTGGTTGGGCATCTGCCTTCGGCTCAGGGTGTGGTCCTGGAGACCCGGGATCGAGTCCCACATCAGGATCCCTGCATGGAGCCTGATTCTCCCTCTCTGTGTGTCTCTTATGAATAAATAAATACAATCTTTAGAAAAAAAATACTGAAGAAGGGAGATGCTAATGTTGTTACCAGTTTATGGAAACCAAGGAAACCAACACACTGTGAGAGAAACAAACTCACCCAAGAGATGATTAGGAGAACTGGAATTTGAATCTGAGTAGATTCCCAAGACTGTGGACTTTACCTCTACCCTCTACACCCCCTCAGATGTTACAGGGGTCTAACACGTGCCAAGCATCTGCTTGGTGCTTACGCTTCCAGTGCCGTGTCAAGCACACTCCTGCCTCAGAGTCTTTGCCCTTGCTGTTCCTTGCACCTATTACTCTCTCCCTTCCAGTTATCGACAACTCTCTACTCACTCCCTTCAAGTCTCTGCTCACTTTACCTGTGAGGACCCTTCTGACCACCTTAAATAAAATGTATCTCCTCTACCTTGTTCTGGCATGCCCCCCCCCCCAGGCTCCTTCTTCAGCCCTATTATTCCTTTAGCATTCACCATCATGTGACATGTTACTTATCTATATTTACTTGCTCGTTGTCTGTCTTCCCCCAGTCGTAGGTATGTCTTGAAAGAGCAGACTTTTCTCTTTATTTCTCAGTACACTAATTAGTGCCTGGCTCCCTGTCACCTTCAGCCACTTTTATGACTGAATGGCAGGACTACGGGAAGTTAGGCTCCTGCCCTCAGTAAGTTCAAGTTCTAGGGTAGACAACTGGCAATCATGAAGGAAATACGCACCCCTTTGTTTCAGGCAGTCATGAATGCGGTGAAGAACATGTGAGCTACATGAGGCATGAGAAGGATGGAGATGTCATGGTGGACGGAGCAGCCTGGGAGCCCTCGTGGAGGAGAGAGACTTGGATGAGTTAGAGAAGGTGGCATGGCCGAGGCCCAGATGGGTGTCAGGTTGGTGTCAGGTGGGCGGGTGGTAGTGGGAGAAGCGATTGGAGAGGGGGCTGGTTTGCAGGGACTGCATCAAGCAGGGCCCTGCAAGTCCAGGTGGTTTCGGGGGCAGAGCAGTTTTTCCAGTGGCTCAGTTCCACACTTCCCTGCTGTTAATCTCCCATGGCTACTGTGACAAATGACCACAAACCTGGTGCTTTAGAACAACAGAAATTTATTGTCTCATCGTTCTGAGGCCAGGAGTCTGAAATCCGTATCACTGGGCAGAGTCAAGGTGTCAGTGGGCCTCTGCTCCCTCTGGAGGCTCTGGGGAGAGCTGTCCTGGCTTCTTCCACCTCCTGGGTGCTCCTGGCATTCTTTAACTTATGGCCACATCACTTCCCTCTTTGCCCCTGTGGTCACATTGCTGTCTCCTCCTCAGTGTTCAATCTCTCTCCGTCTCTCCCTCATCAGGATGCTCTCAATTGCATTAAGGGCTCACCCAGATAATCGAGGATAAACTCCCCATCTCAAGATCCTTAATTCCAGCTGCAAAGTCCTTTTCTTTGCCATGTGAGGTCATGGTCACAGGCTCCAGAGATTAGGATGTGGATATCTTCTGGCAGGGGGCCATTATTCTGATGTCTGGTAATTCAACGATTTATGCGACTCTCAGAGTAAACTAACGGCCCCTTTGGCTTATATTTTGCAAGCTGTTTTTCTGTTGTTATAATGAAAACCAGCCAGACTAATGCACTTCCCCCCCAGAGTAGGTGCTAGTAAATGTTCACGTGGAAAGCAAAAAGGGAGTTCATAGGTATCGAGGGTACTTGGTGCACACAGCACATATTAAGCCCTGAGTATATGAATTGAATCAGTTTTTATACGATGCAGAAAAGTCCACATTATGATCGTTGTCCACGTTATTATCCGTGAGGGTCCAAGAGGTGGAGTGACTGATGAGGCAGGAAAGGCACACTGAGAGGGAGTGGATGGAGGCTTCGGAATTGCAAGCTAGGTGTGTCACACTTTCCCCTACATTGGGCTGCTCAGCCCCAGCACTACGATGCTTTGGACCAGACAACTCTTTGTTGTGGGGGCTGCCCTGTGTATTACAGGGTGTTTAGCAGCATCCCTGATCCCAACTCACTAGATGGTGATAGCCAGTTGGGACAACCCCCAAGTTGTGACAACTGAAAGTGTCTCTAGACATTGCAAAATGTATGCTGGGGGAGAAGCCTCCTCTTCTTCAGAACTAATGCTCTCTATTATACTGCCCTAGTGGAGGTGGTGGTACAAAGAGGTGCTGTTTCAGCTGGGAATTGAACTCAACTGTCACACAGAGCAAGGAGGCAGCTGCCTCTATGCCACTGAAGTAGTAGACACTGCTGGTTATCTGCTGATGTTTGCCCTCTGATTCTTTTAGTGTAAAATTACAGCTGGCCACACTGCTGCCAGAATAAAGACTACATTTCCCAGGCTTCCTTGCAACTAGGTGTGACTATGGGACCAGATTCCAGCCAATCAGAGGTGATGTGGGCAAATTCCCAGCGATGCTCTTGAAGGAGAGGGTCCTACTTCTCTTCACTGCCTTCTTCCCCAGTCTTGCTGCCTGGCATATGGACTTGGTAGCAAGATCCAGGAATCTCGGGTCTCAATATCAAGGAGTCCTCTATTGCCTGGCCTGCTTATGCTTGGTTATCACAAGATAAATTAGTTTTCTTCTGGGTTAAGCCACTGTTATTTAAGAGTTTTGTTAAAGTTGCCCAGCCTGAATTTAACTATTACAGCTACCCAAGCCACCCATAGTAGGGAAGGAAAGAAGGCAGGAAATGGGGAGAGGAGGATGTAAATGGAGGGGCCTGGCCAGTCTGGCTCTGCAAGCTCAGAGATGCATAGGAAAACCTTCTGGAAAGGACTCTGAGTTGAATCTTGAAGGATGAGAAAATGTGGAGGGGGCAGAAGGGGGCAGACACTCCAGAAGGGGCTGTGGCAGGAACAAGGGTCCTGAGAAGAGGGCTGGGCAAAGCCTTGGAGGAGGAGGAGGGCTTACAGGGGCTGTGAAGGGAGAGCACAGCACATCAGAAGGGAGTTCAGTCAGTGCCCACTGGGGGACTTCACCAGGTGAGTGGAAACCAGGTATGTGGATCCCGGAGTTTGGTATGAGGCCTGGGGAGCCTCTGGAGGTTGAGATCAGAGGCAGAGAAATGGTTGGGGAGCCTTGGCCTCCCTCTGATTCAGAGGACCCACTCTGGGGCCGACCCCTCACCCACGCCCCATGCCCCATTCCCCATGCTCCATGCCCCATGCCCCAAGCTAATGTAGCCCCAATTTTGCTGGGCCTGGAGTCTTGACGTCTTCTTGCCATGGTCTCCTCTGGCAGGCAACCAGGACCAGCAGGAGTGCAGCCAGGGTTGTTGCCTTCAGCCCCAGGACCAGAGATGTGAACACAGACAGAAGGTCTGGAGGACGCAGGGGAGAACTCAGGAAGGACCCTGGGTGATTCCCCAATAGTCCAGACCTCAGTGTCCCCACAGGGAAGTCTGGCCCCAGCTGCTGGGCCACATTCTTTGTACACTGAGAGAGGAGACCAAAGACCCCTCCCTCTATCCTGGGCCTAAAGAGGCTTTGTCCAATATCCTACCCGTATGTTTAGTCATCTTGGCAGCATTCTTGACCTCTGATAGTAATAAAAAACTGTGTTCATTTATTGGCTGTTCAGCATCTCTGCCCCAGACCTTGAGCTAAGCACTTCCTAATTGCCTAACATAACCCTTAAACTTATCTTGCAAGGTAGGATAATAATGCAATTGGTACAGATGAGGAGGCAGACTCAGAATGGGGAAATGATTTTCTCAGGGACATATATGTTAGAGAAGTGATGGGACCAGGTGTTACAGCTCCCAAGAATGGCAGGAACAGGGCTGAGCCACAGGGAGCATCTGAGGTCGCTACCCTAAGTCTCACCCCCAGCCCCGCCTCAGTCACAAGGGGCCCTTGTGATGTGATGTGATATGCACAGTTCTGGGCATTTGGCACATGTGATCTCATTAGATCTACATGCCACCTTGAGTGGTAGGCTCTCTGATTCTTATCGCTTCTCCCCACTAGTTTCGCAGAGTAGGACTATACAAACTCAAGGAGCAAGGCAAATTGCCACAATCACACAGCTAGAAAGGGGCTCAGTACAGGATGCCTGGCTACAAAGCCATGTTCTCCAGTACCGTGATGTACAGTTTCACGGTGTATCCTTGCACTGGACTTCAGGGAGCTCACTACTTCTCAGGCAAGACTGCCTACCGAATAGTTAGCACTGGCTGTTAGAGAGTCCCTTCTTTAAATGAGCTTCAACATGGTTCTCTGGGTTCCTGGTTCTGCAGTCAAGATGAAGTCTTGGGGACTTTCTTGGTGACAGGTGGCCCTTGGAGTCAGGGACTACTCCCTTCCCATGGCCCACGTCATGTTTGGCCACCCTTGCCTTGGGGACTGGTTACCTTCCCAGGACGTAGGTACACTCACCTGATGGAAATATCCTGGCGACATGTTCATTGGTGAGTTCTGTCTCTTGGGGAGAAGGGGGCTTTGCTGCAAGGAAGAGAGATAGTCACACATTTACCTTTTCTTTCTGTCCTGCCATCTCATGAGCCCCTGCGCTAGGACCAGGAGTCATCAAGATGAGTCTATCTGGGATGGGGGCTAGAAGTCAAACCCTGCTACTGTGAGGGACTAGTTAGACGTGTGGGAGCATCTCTGGTGTAGAGACAATGTCTGGTTCATTGCAGTATCCACACACCTAATACAGTGCAAGGACAATAGACAGGCACTTAACAGATGCTGTTAAATCATTAATGGTCTATACAAAGTTTTGTGGAGCCCAGAATGGGGAGAAATTAATTCTGCCTGGGAGAAACAAAAGGTTTCACAGAGGAGGGGCTATTTGTGGTAGGCCTTGAATGATGAGTAGGAGTTCTTCAGAGAGAAAAAGAAAGAATTCCAGATAGTGGAACAACTTTTGTAAAGGTTGGAGGCTGAGAACAGCTGGCTTATTTGGGACATGATGGAAAGTTTGTTGTAGGCCACGTTCCTCTTACCCCCAACTCCTCCCCCTTCCCTCATCCCCTCACCACCTGTCTCACCTTTTACTCTCAGTCTGGTGCCCATTCCAGACAGGTATTGTCTGTTGAATTTCCTCTGAAACTTGACACAGTAGTAGGTGCCCTCATGTTCAGTGGAGGCGCCTTGCAGCAGAATGCTAAAATCCGTCCTGGAGGCCTGGACTGCTGTCACGTTAGGGTGGGAGATGCCTTCAAAGTTGTAAATGGCCTCCCGGCTCAGACCAGTTCCCCGAAACCACCTGATGGCGCCTGGGGGACCATCTCCAAGCACTGTGCAGTTCAGGAATACATTGTCTCCGATGGTTGCCAATACCAACTCCTGGGGCTGGATGATCCAGAGGTCTGGCTCTGGGTCCCCGGCTTCTGAAGTCAAAGAGAGGGGCCTTGTGGTATTCCATTTCCTCCTCCACTGTCTGCTCATTACCTCCCTCATATCTTCCCTCCCTCCCCTTTCCCTGATTTCTCTACTCAGTAACTCCCTCTGCATTCCCCCATTACTCTCAGGTTGATTCATTCAGTAAAGAAATTTCTAGTACCTACTATGTGCTGATGTTTAAGATTGAGAAAAATGAAGGTTAGCAAGACATACAGATGTCCTGCTGGGAAAGTTCTCAGTCTTGTGGTATATAGATTTGGCCCAGAAAATCCTCCTGAGCTTGAAAACCCAGAGGACTGTAGGACCAAGAGAAGGTACCTGTCACAGCTTGGAAGGAGTCTGAGAAACCTTTTTGACATGCTTGCATCAAGTTAAAAATTAACCCTTCCCTCTGCCCCCAGCCACCTTACACAGACATTCTGTCAACAATCTACATGGTGTTCTGTAGACTGTTCTTCTATTTCATCACCTGAATGACCCTCCAGGTAGGAATTATGTCACCTATCCTACAAGTTAAGCACTTGAACTGTGTAGAGCTGAAGTGATCAATTTAACACACTTTTCTCGAATGGCAGGATCAGGATTTGAGTGCCCAGGTCACCGCTGCCGGGCTTACAGATAGCATGACTTATTATATGGGGAGTGAGGTCAATGAAAGGATCAGCCCTAGCTCTTGAGTCCTCTGGTAGTATGGTACATCCCTGCTCCTGCCGTGGCCTCACCGTGGCAAGGCACACATCATGGTCTCTCACTTTGAGCTTAGCCACGTGACATGCTTTAGCCAATGGGCTGTTAGTAGACATTACGTGGTTAGAAGCTAGAAATGTGCCTGGGGCTTTGGGACTTGTTCTCTTTGCTCCTGCCATCTCCACGACACAGATGTACCCTACGTAGCTGCAATGAGACGTGGCCCTGGAACAAGGCACGTGGAGCAGAACCACTCCAGCTGTCTGTACATGTGTGATGAGACACACTTATTTTGTGTGCCACTGGGATTTGTGTGTACGGCATGGTTGTGGTTAAAGGCGGCTGATGCAGGGACACAGATCAGAGCCAGGTGCTAAGACCCGCAGAGCCTGATACTCACCCTTCACAAACACTGAGGTGCCCTCCTGCAGTGTCTTTTCTGAGTTCTCATTCTTGTTACCAAACCACACACAGTGGTAGGTTCCAGCATGCCTGCTGGTGACATTGTAGATATAGATGGAATAGTCACAATTAAGTGGCTCCGATGTCCGTTGGATCAATGGCATGACTCCAGGAAAGAAGCCGTGTTTGAAGTTATAAATCTCCTGCTGGTCCTGATGGCTCACCTTGACCCATTTAATCATGTCATCAGTGCAGGAGCCATCCACTGTACACCGAAGTAGGAGTGTGTTACCTTCTGCCACCAGCATACGGCCCTCAGGCTGTAGCACCTGCCATTTACTCCCATAGCTTGGCTCAGAGGCTCCTACAACAGAGGAAGAAAGGATTTGTGCTTAGCAGGAAGGAACTGCAGCCTTAAAAGGTGAGCTTAACCCAACCTAGTCATTGGCTGGCCAAGAACAATTACAACACTGGAGGGATGTTAGGAGAGGGAAGTGCAAAAGATGGGGAGGTTGGCTGAAGAGGCAGGACAGAACTATTGAATGGAGAACTTACAAATAATAAGTGGCACTTAAGTGCTCACCATGTCCCAAGTCCTGTGTGGCTTACCACATCTATTCTTGCCAACGCTCCTGTGACGTGGGCAGCATTATTCCTATCTTCACAGAAGACCCTGACAACCCAGATGATTAGGTAAGTTTCCCAGGATCACTATTTATGGGCTGAATTGTGTCTCCCTGGCCAAATTCATATGTTGGGGTCCTAACCCCCAGTACCTCTGAATGTGGCTTCATTTGGAGATAGGGTTGTTAAAGAGGAAATTAAGTTAAAATTAGAGGATGAGGGTGGACCCTAATCCAATATGACTGGTGTCCTTAGAAGAAGAGTAGATTAGGACACAGATACACAAAGAGGGAGGCCCACATGGAGGTACAGGGAGAGGATGGTCATCTGTAAGATAAGAAGAGAAGCCTCAGAAGAAACCAACCCTGCTGATACCTTCACCTAGACTTCCAGTCTCCAGAAGTATGAGAAAATACATTTAAACCACCAGTCTGTTATGGCCACCCAAACTAATACCTCATCCAATAAGAATGTGACAGTCTGTTTCTGGAGCCCCTGCTCTCAGCTCTCAGCTCACAAATGTATCACACAAAGTGTGTGCACGGTGGTGTTTAGTGTAAACATCCTCCTTGTTTCCTGTGGATTCTTTTTAAAATTAATGAATTTTAAAAATTTTTATTTATTTATTTTTTTATTTATGATAGAGAGAGAGAGAGAGAGAGAGAGAGAGAGAGGCAGAGACACAGGCAGAGGGAGAAGCAGGCTCCATGCACTGGGAGCCTGATGTGGGATTCGATCCCGGGTCTCCAGGATCGCGCCCTGGGCCAAAGGCAGGCGCCAAACCGCTGTGCCACCCAGGGATCCCCTTAAAAAATTTTAAAGTAATTTCTGTGCCTAACATGGGACTTGAACTCACAACGTTGAGAACAAGAGTCACATGCTCTACCAGCTGAGTCGGCCAGATGCCCCTTGCCCCACCCCCGTGAATTCTTTTCTTAAAAAAAATTACTTTATTGAGGTATTATTTACATACAGTAAATACCAGAAATTTTATGTCCTGTATGCAGTTCTATAACTTTAAAATTTTTTTTAAAAAATATTTATCTATTTGAGAGAGAGACACAGAAGTACTCATTAGAGAGACCATGTGCAGAGAGGAAAGGGATAAATAGACTCCCTGTGGAACAGGGAGCCAGACATGGGGCTCGATCCCAGGACTCTGGGATCATGACCTGAGCTGAAGGCAGATGCTTAACTGACTGAGCCACCCAGGCACCTCAAAACATTTTTTAATTTGAAGTAGAGTTGAATATAACATTATATTATTTTCAGGTGTCTTGTGTGAATTCTTTGCCAAACTGCAATGCTTGAGGGATCCCTGGGTGGCTCAGTGGTTTAGCACCTGCCTTAGGCCCAGGGCGTGATCCTGGAGTCCTGGGGTCGAGTCCCACATCAGGATCCCTGCATGGAGCCTGCTTCTCCCTCTGCCTGTGTCTCTGCCTCTCTCTTTCTCTGTGTCTCTCATGAATAAATAAATAAAATATTTTTTTAAAAAAAAACTGCAATGCTTGTTGGTGTGTAGGGAAGTGAGTCTATTTTGGTGGTTGAACTGCTGAGTTGGGCCTTAAAACAGGCACAGGGAAAGAGGACCAAGGCCTCCCATGCAAGTTCTTTCATACCTGGGTAATGAACATCATCTCAGGTGCTCCCCTCAAGAACTCCCTGAGGCAGGTGTTATTACCTCCATTTTTGAGATGAGGAAACGTAATGGGGAAGAAACATGAAGGGACCAAGGCATTCCATTAGCAGTATGACTGAGGATCTGGACTCAGATCAGGTGACTTAAATTTCTTTTTTTTTTTTTTTAAGATTTTAAAAATGTATTTATGAGAGAGAGAGAGGCAGAGACACAGGCAGAGGGAGAAGCAGGCTCCATGCAGGGAGCCTGACATGGGACTCCATCCCAGGTCTCCAGGAACAAGCCCTGGGCTGAAGGCAGCACTAAACCGCTGAGCCACCCAGGCTGCCTGTGACTTAAGGTTCTAATCAATACAGGTCGTCAGCTTTGTGCCCCGACTGTTCCCTGGTGTATGTGACCATCAGGCCTGGTGAATGACTTGGTCTCACTCCAAGATACAGGTTTGCAGGATATCATGATGTTTCTCAGTTGAAAGTGAGGTAGGGGAGTAGGGATGTGAGGCAGACATTTTCTGGGGTGGGGGTGGGGGAATGTGGAATTCTAAATTCCTCTTCTGCCTGCTAGGCTTGTGCTGCTAGCCTCTACAAGAACTGCCTCACAGTTGTGATTAAGTGATACCTCATGATCAGTCCTAGGGATTGCTTTTGTCCTTGGTGTCCTTAGTTCTGAGCAGTTTGGCAGCATCCACCCTCAAATACCATAATGTGAGCAAGTCAGATCTAGATCTATTCTCTCTAATCCTTTATGGTGGTCTGTTCCCTGGTCTCAAGTAGTTTCCTTGCACCTCGTACACGTGCACTGAGCGGTGCCCTCCACTCAGCACAGGGCTGAGAATAGTGCCTGTCCTCACCAGCCAAACTGGAAAACCTCATGATTGACAGAGCAATGGGTAGAAAGGACAGAAGAGATTACTCAGAAAGAAGTGCTCTGGTCTCATCTAGCAAATCTGAAAAGCAAGGTCCTGAAATGATAAAAACAAACAATATTCCATTGTGAGGCTTTAACACATGTTTAAGTGAAGCTCTGACAGCAACCAAATAAAGACTGGAAGGGGGAAACACTAGGATACTTTCAAAAGTTTTCTATACTGTATGCTGAATGGTATGCTGTTACTTAAAGGTAGATGGCAATCAATTACAGATGTATACTATAAACTTTATACCACTAAATGACAAAATAGTTATAGCTTATAAGCCAATGAAAGAGATGAAATAGCATTATAAAAATATTCAACAATCAAAAGAAGACAGAAAAAGAGTAAAAAGGGAACAAAGAACAAATTGGACAAATAGGAAGGTAATAATATCTAAATCTGATCCTATAAAAAGTCACTTTGAATGTAAATGTTCTAAATACATATGTAAAAGTTAGAGATTGTTGGATTGGATAAAAAAGTAAGACCTAACTATCTGTTGCCTATAAAAAATGCATTTTAAATATTAAAGGTGCACATATGTTAAAAGGAAAATGATGGAAAAAGCTATAGCATATGAACACTAATCAAAGGAAAGCTGGAGTGGCTATATTAGTATCAGGTAAAGTAGATTTCAGAGCAAAGAATATCTCTAAGAGTAAAGAATGTTGCTTCATAATGATAAAGGAGCAAATTAATCAAGAAGATACACAAATCCCAAACATTTGTGCAACAGATAATAGGACTTCAAAGTATATGAAGCAAAATCCAGTAAAATGTCAGGGGGAAACAGACAAATACGCAGCTATGCTCTGAGATTTCAATATCCTTCTTTTCATAGTTGATAGAACATGTAGGCAGAAAGTCAGAAAGAATACAGAAGACTTGAAAAGCACTATCAACTAACTTAGCCTAATTGATATTTATAGAACACTATGCCCCCAAATAGCAGGATATACAGTTCTTTTCAAATGCACAAAGAACATTTGCAAAGATAGAGCATATTCTGAGTCATAAAAATAGTCTCAACAAGTTTAAAATAATTCAAGCATAATCTTTGACCACAGTGGAATTAAATTAGAATCAATAGCAGACAGATGCCCAGGAAACCCTGAGATAATTCACAAGCTAAATAACACACTTTCCAATAACACATGAGTTAAAGACAAAATAAAAGGGAAATTAGAAAGTATTTTGATCTGGGGATCCCTGGGTGGCTCAGCAGTTTGGCGCCTGCCTTCAGCCTGAGGCATGATCCTGGAGTCCTAGGATTGAGTCCCAGGATCAAGTCCCGCATTGGGCTCTCTGCATAGAGCCTGCTTCTCCCTCTGCCTGTGTCTCTGCCTCTCTTTCTCTCTGTGTCTCTCATGAATAAATAAATAAAATCTTAAAAAAAGTATTTTGATCCAAATGAAAAAGAAAACAATAATAAAATTTGTGGGATGTATAGGGAAATTTATAGCATTATATGACTATATTAGGAAAGAAGAAAGGACTTAAATGAATGGCCTTAGTCACTACTTTAAGAAACAAGGAGGGGCTCCTAGTTGGTTCAGTTGGTTGGGCATCCATCCAGCTCTCGATTTGGGCTTGGGTTGTGATCTCAAGGTTCTGGGGATGAACTCTGTGTTGGTCTCTGTGCTCAGTGTGGAGCCTGCTTGGGATTCTTTCTGTTCCTTTCCCTCTGCCCCTTCCCCACTGCTCCTGCTCTCTGTTTCTAAAAATATAATAATAATAATAATAATAATAATAATAATAATAAAAGAATTAAGGAAAAAAGAGGAAATTAAACCCAAAGTAAGAAGAAGAAAGGAAACCACAAATATCTGAGTGAAAAGCAACAAAGTAAAAAAACGGAAAACAACAGAGAAAAATCAGTAAGAATGAAATCTTTGAGAAGATCATTATAATTGATAAACCTATAGCTATAGTGAAAGAGAGAGGGTGAAAGAGAGAGAGAGAGAGAGAGAGAGAGAGAGAGAGAGAGAGAGATGGCCAGTCAGGAATGAGAGAGGTGGCAGCAGTACAGACTTTACAGATATTAAAGAACTATGGGAATAAGGGAATACCATGGAAAGTTCATGGCTATATATACTGACAAAGGGACAAATTCCTTGAAAAACACAAATGGTTATCAAAGCTCCATCAAGAAAAAAATAGATAACCTAAGTAGCCCTATTATCTATTTAAAACATTTAACCTGTATTAAAAACTTTCCCACAAAGAAAACTGCAAGCCCAGAGGGACTCACTAGTGAATTCTGCCATACATTTAGATACAACACCAAAATCACAATCCATAAAAGAACAAATTAATAAATTGGATTTTATGAAAACTAAGAATTTTTGCAGTTCAAAAGACACTTGTAAGAGAATAAAAAAGACAATCTACATTGTTGGAGAAAATCTTTGCAAAGTATATATCTGATAAAAGATTTGTAACCAGAATATATTAAAAACTCTCAAAACTCAATAATTAGAAAAACAATTTAAAAATGGGAGTTGAAAAATAAATGGGAGTCAAGGGGCACCCAGGTGACTCAGTTGGTTGGGTGTCTGACTCCTGATTTTGGCTTGGCTCATGATCTTGAGGTCTTGAGATGGGGCCAAACAAGGACTCTGTACTAGGTGTGGAGCCTGCTTGGGGTTCTCTTGCCCTCCCTCTCTTTCTGCCCACCCCCCACCTTCATGTGCCCACGTGTGTGCACACTCTCTCTCTTTCTAAGAGAAATAAATAAATCTTTAAAAAAATGAGAGTTGAAGAGACACTTGACCAAAAAGGATGCACTTGAAAGAAGTCCAGCATCATTACACATTAGGCAAGTGAAATTAAAACCACAATGAGCTATTACTACACACCTGTGGGAATGACTAAAATTAAAAAGATTGACCATACCAGGTGTTGGCGAGCATATAGAAGAAATATCTTCATACGTTGCTGATGAGAATGCAAAATGATACAACCTTCTTGGAAAACAGTTTGGAAGTGTCTTTTTTTAATAAATTTATTTTTTATTGGTGTTCAATTTGCCAACATACAGAATAACACCCAGTGCTCATCCCGTCAAGTGCCCACCTCAGTGCCCATCACCCAGTCACCCCCACCCCCCACCCACCTCCCCCTCTACCACCCCTAGTTCGTTTCCCAGAGTTAGGAGTCTCTCATGTTCTGTCTCCCTCTCTGTTATTTCCCACTCATTTTTTCTTCTTTCCCCTTTAATCCCTTTCACTATTTTTTATATTCCCCAAATGAATGAGACCATATAATGTTTGTTCTTCTCCAATTGACTTATTTCACTCAGCATAATACCCTCCAGTTCCATCCATGTCGAAGCAAATGGTAAGTATTTGTCGTTTCTAATGGCTGAGTAATATTCCATTGTATACATAGACCACAGCTTCTTTATCCATTCATCTTTCGAGGACACCGAGGCTCCTTCCACAGCTTGGCTATTGTGGACATTGCTGCTAGAAACATCGTGGTGCAGGTGTCCTGGCGTTTCACTGCATCTGTATCTTTGGGATAAATCCCCAGCAGTGCAATTGCTGGGTCATAGGGCAGATCTATTTTTAACTCTTTGAGGAACCTCCACACAGTTTTCCAGAGTGGCTGCACCAGTTCACATTCCCACCAGCAGTGCAGGAGGGTTCCCCTTTCAGTTTGGAGGTGTCTTAAAAGTTCAACACATAGGTATCATATGATCCAGTCATTTTGTTAAGTATTTTCCCAAGAGAAATGAAAGCATAAGTCCGTATAAAAACTTGTATGTGAGCATCTATAAATGCTTTATTTGTGACAGTCCCAAATTGCAAGCTCGCCAAATGTCTGGTTTGAATGGAAAAACAAGCTGTGGCTTATCCATACAGAGGAAACAAATGAAAAGACATGCATGAACTATTAATATGTGCAACAACATGAATGAAGGTCAAAATAGTTATGCTGAGGAAAAGAAATCTGACAAAAAAGGAGTACATACTGCATGATCTTGTATAAAGTTTTAGAAAATGCAAACTAGTCTATAATGACAGAAAGCAGATAATTGGTTGCCTGGAGAGGAGGAGAAGTGGAAAGGATGAATCACAAGGAAAGTTTTGTGGGTCTTGGGTATATTCATTATACTGATTTTGGTGATGAGTACACAGGAGTAAAGTATATCTAATACCCAACAAAATTTACGAAAGTGTACATGTTAAATGTGTCATTTGTTGTATGTCAACTATACCCCAATGAAAGGAAGCCCTGCTCCACTCACCTCTTCCTGCTGTCCCCTTCTTGGTTCTCCCTCTATGTCATCCCATGGACTTTGGGAAATGTCCTGGGTACCTTGTCTTCAGGGCTGGAGCAGCCCCTTGCCCACAGCCCTGGGGTTCCTTCCCACCTATTTTCTGCCCTGCCTTTCTTGGTCTGTGATGAGGGGTTCCATTTTGGAAGCCTGGTATAAAACCCATATTTTTCAAAAATATTTGATCCTGGGTAGTTTATACATGTGACTTTCTAGCCTAAAATTAAGTGGATACTCAAGAGTATTCGTGGAATAAGCAATAGGAATTACAATTCACATTTTACAATCAGGGAAACCAGTTCAGAGAAGTGAAGCGGTGCCCCAAATCACAGCCGGGGAATGAAGGAGTAGCCAGGTCTGGCCCCAGATCTGAGCCCACCAGGGCCTCTCTGGGAGGTGACCATTCTGGAAGACCCAAGGTGAGATGAGCAGGATCTGGGTCTCAACAGGAGCTGGGACAGTGGCTCAGATGGACGGGGGATGGAATGAGCCTGCTAAAAGCCCAGCATCCTGCCTGCTGGATCAGAGGTACTTGGGTTCAGAGGTTGAGCTGAACCCAGGCGCCCCAGGACTCAGGAGCTAAATCAGCCTGATCCTGACTTAGAGAAGACACAGGTAGGATAATAACAGCCAACAGTTACTAAATCTGTATATGTGCCAGGTGCTTAGAGGTATAATCTCATTGGATCCTTCAAATAAAGTCATGAAGTAGGTCCCATGATTAGCCCCATTTTATAGGCAGGGAAACTGAGACTCAGAGAGAAGTTTCTTGAAGCAATCCGTGGTGAGGTTGAGCCCAGATTTCTCAGGCTGAGCCCATGCTGGTTCATGGATGTTCAGTTTGTGTGGCCACACAGGGCCTCATGCTTGTGTTAATGCTCAGCTGTTGCTGTCTTAAAGTTCTCAATACTTTTTGAACCTGTGTTTATATTTTGCACTGGGCCCAGCAAATTATGTCACTGATCCTGGGCTGAGCATCACCATTCTTATTTATATTTATTTTTTTAATAAGTGTTTTTTTTTAAAAACAGATTTTATCTATTGAGAAACAGCAGGAGAGATAGAGAGAGCATGAGCTTGAGGAGAGGGGCAGAGGGAGAGGGAGAAGTAGACTCCCTGCTGAGCAGGGAGCCCGATTTGAGGCTCCATCCCAGGACCTTAAGATCATGATCTGAGGGATCCCTGGGTGGCGCAGCGGTTCAGTGCCTGCCTTTAGCCCAGGGCGCGATCCTGGAGACCCAGGATCGAATCCCACAGATCCAGGATCGAATCCCGCGTCGGGCTCCCGGTGCATGGAGCCTGTTTCTCCCTCTGCCTGTGTCTCTGCCTCTCTCTCTCTCTCTCTCTCTCTCTCTCTCTCTCTGTGACTATCATAAATAAATTAAAAAAATAAAAAAAAAAGATCATGATCTGAGCCAAAGGCAGACGCTTAACTGACTGAGCCACCCAGGTGCCCTGAGCCTCCCCATTTTTACACTTAATATTCACAGCACCTCATTAGCAGCCCTCTTTGTGGAAAAGGACAGCGACGTGACATGTGACATGGGCACATGGGGGTTGGAGCCAGAGCCCATTCAGTGAGAGCCCAGAGCCTGGGAACTTAACTTCACTGTACTGCCTCCCAAGAAGTCCTCCTTTTTTGGACACTGGATCTGCACTCTGCTGGGATCAGGAGATCTCTCAGCTCCCCATTCCCATTCCCTCTTGGTGGGGTCGAGCCCCTCTAGGCATGCCAGAGACCCTGGTGGCCCTCTCTGGGACAAGCCAGGGCAGGTTCCTGTTCTGTCCCAGATCCCACTCACCAAAGAAGACCAGGAGCAGCATCAGCAGCCAAGAGCAGGGAAGACAGTGGGCCAGGTGCGTAGGGGTGGTCATGGCAAGGGGCACAAGTTTCTCCTGCATTCCCAAAGTTGGCCACCGTTCTTCGATTTGGTGGGTGTTAAAGCCTGAAATGGGACCCGTGGGCAAGGTTGTTTCTGCTTCTTGTGGCCAAGGCTGCTTGGGGAAGTGTTTTTACTACACTAAGACAGGGCTGCTGGTGCAAGAGGAAGGAGAAGTTTAGAGGGTTTCCGGGTTCTTTTTTTTTTTAATGATTTATTTTTTAAAAGATTTTATTTATTTATACATGACAGACACAGAGAGAGAGGCAGAGACACAGGCAGAGGAAGAAGCAGGCTCCAAGCAGGGACCTCGACATGGGACTTGATCCAGGGTCTCCAGGATCACACCCCAGGGCTAAAGGCGGCACTAAACCTCTGGGCCACCGGGGCTGCCCAGGGTTTCCGGGTTCTGTGTTTGGGCAGTGAGTGGTTCCTGTAATCACTCTGTCCAAACCTCAATGACCCCTTGCCATAGGCCCTGGCATCTGGACAGAAGATGAGCGTGCCTGTCCTGCATCCAAGTCAGCTAGACTTGGGATCAAGTATTGACGTCTGCCTCTCCCTGGCTGTGTGACCTTTCAAACTCACTTCCCACCTCTGAATCTTTGTTTCTTCATCTGCAAAATGGGGACAGTAGTAATCCCCTCCTCAGAAAGGTGTTGTGAGGATTATAAGATATGTGTGTGGGTGAGGGCCCACACATGTACAGCGCAATGAAAATGCTGAACATCCCAGCCATTGTTATTCATGATACGCAGGAAGGAGGAGAGGTGGCATTTGCTGAAGAAGAAGGATTTATTATTATAAAGCAAGTGTCCTTTCGACAGTGTGGGGAAGGCACAACCCCATTCCTAAATGTTTAATTGTAGGAAACTCTTGAAACCTTCATTTCCTGGGGTCCAAATGTAACACACCCAGATCATATAAAAAATCGTGTTTGTGGCATTTTAACTTTCTGTAACTTCCTCGGGAGCCCCTATCATCCTGGTTATCAGGAAGGAAAGCTTACTTATATTTGCCAATTAAAGCAATCCCAGGCTCTTCAGAGTTCTGTTAGTCTCTTCAGCAGCAGTGTCTGGGCTCAAATTGTGGCTTTATCCATCATGACTATCATTTGAGCACTTTGTGCCTCAGTTTCCTGATCTGTAAGACAGGAAGAAAAATATGGTTGCACGTATGAGGTGGAGTGAGCATTGTATATGCTGCCATCATTCTCTGAGTTAGTTTAACTCCGTTATTTTTTTTTCTGAAAAAAAAAAAAAAGAAAAGAAAAAATCCCTCACGCTTCCAATGCTTCCCTTCCTCCTTCCTACTTCAGGTGGTCTTGGGTGTAGAGAAGGCTAAAGTTTCTTTCCGGGCAGAGTGGTGGGCCTTGGGTCTGAGTTCTGTCTCAGGGCCTGGTGTCTGCTATGGGGAGGTCAGTCTGGCCTGGTCCCTGAGCACTTTGTACAGGGTCTCCTGAGGTGTGGCTGGTCCTGTCTTCTAAATCCCATTGCTCTTTCTGCTTGTTCTGCTTTTTAGGAGACCTAGATATTGGAGCCTCTTTGAACTGACCACAGCCCTAGAAGATTCCATCAGCCCCTTAGCCCCTCCGTGTCATCCTCCCAGGGGAGCTTTTAAATCGCCTGCACATCTGCCTGGTTTGCTTTTCCACTATTTCTTTTCTTCTCGAGAGTTACTTAAAATTTTTCTTTCTTTCTTTTTTTTTTTTATAAATTAATTTTTATTGGTGTTCAATTTACCAACATACAGAATAACACCCAGTGCTCATCCCGTCAAGTGTCCCCCTCCGTGCCCGTCACCCATTCACCCCCAGAGAGTTACTTAAAATTAATTTTATTTATTTTAATAGATAAAGTAGTGTATTGGTTAGCTATCGCTGTGTAACAGACCACCCCCAAAATGCAATGATCTAAAACAATAACCATTTATTTAACTGGTGACTCTGTGAGTTGACAATTTTGCCTGGGCTCAGCTCCATGGTTCTCATTGCAGCTGGTTTTGGCTAGGATCACTGCTGCATTTGAAATTAGCAGCAGGCTGGCGAGGTGACTGCTGCTGTGGTTGGCTGACTATTGCCTGGACCCCCTCAGCTCTCTTTTACCTGGTCTCTCATTCTCCAGGAGGCTAGTCTGACTTGTTCACATGAGAGGGGCAGTGTTTGGAGAGAGCAGAAGTTGCAAGATCACAGAAGTGTCACTCCTGCTACATTCTTTTGGCTGAAGCAAATCACAGACCAGATCAGATAGAAGGGATGGAAGGCAGATCGCACCTCTTGATAGAAGGAGCTGCAAAATCATATTGCCAAGGGTGTGGATGTAGGGAAGGGGTAGAGAATTGTGGACAGGGCACCAGGGTGGCTCAGTGGTTGAGTGTCTGCCTTTGGCTCAGAGTGTGATCCCAGGGTCCTGGGATTGAGTCCTTCATTGGGCTCCCCACAGGGAGCCTGCTTTACCCTCTGCCTATATCTCTGCCTCTCTGTGTGTCTCTCATGAATAAATGAATAAAAATCTTAAAAAAAAAAGAATGGTGAACATTCTGGTAATTTACCTACCACGGGCATCCATAGGGTGGAGAATTCACGGGATTCAAAATCTCCTATATAGGGCTCCCAGATATCACCTTCCTTGGGGTTTGGTTATGGTTACCACTTTTGGACATTTTAAGTCCTGCACTCTTTTTGATCTATTTCTCAGAAGCCAGGTTGGACATGGCCCCTGTGGCCCCCTGGATACCCTAGAAAGCCAGGCCATGGTCCTTTCTGCTCTAGGAATCTCTAAACTTAGCTGAGGTTTCTATTACTCCATCCCCTGCCCTGAGTTCTGATCCCAGGGCATGGGGGTGCTGGGGCCCCTGGTGTCTCAATGCCTGTTCTTCTCCCTCTTTTTCTCACCATCCTTCACTAAAGTCCTAAGGGGGGGGGCATTCCCCTTCTTTTCCTCTGCAGGGACTTTCCTAACCTCAGCCCTCTCCTGAACACATGATCTTTGTTCTAGCTGGTTGCCTTCCTGGCCCCCTTCCCCAGGCAACAAATCTCAGGCTCTAGCTTTGGTAAGGGACAGAGCTATGCGGCAAGGAACCTGACTCCTGGGAGAGGGAGAAATGCACAAGAAAGTGCTTCAAAAATATTAGTCCTGGGGGATCCCTGGGTAGCTTAGCGGTTTAGCGCCTGCCTTTCGCCCAGGGTGCGATCCTGGAGTCCCAGGATCAAATCCCGCATCGGGCTCTGGGCATGGAGCCTGCTTCTCCCTCTGCCTGTGTCTCTGCCTCTCTATGTCTATAATAAATAAATAAGTAAATCTTAAAAAAATTAGTCCTGTCCCCACTTATCTGTAACATGGACCCACACACAGCAGGGGGAGGGGCATTGGCTCCCCATAAGGGTTCAGCAAGGGTCAGGGTGCTGGGCGGTCACAGGCAGTGATTGTAACTAGCTGGAGGAGTTAGCCCAATGTATTTTCAACAGGTGCTTGAATGAAACACATCTATAATTTTTTTTAAAAAAGGTTTTATTTATTTATTCATGAGAGACATAGAGAGAGAGCACGAGGCAGAGATATAGGCAGAGGAAGAAGCAGGGTCCTTGCAGGGAGCCCAATGTGGGACTTGATCCTGGGACTTCAGGATCAGGCCCTGAGCCAAAGGCAGATGCTTAACTACTGAACCACCCAGGCGTCCCAAAATACATCTCTACTTATCCTGGCTTTTGTTTTTCTCCCCACCCACCAAAGAAAAATGAAACTTTGTTAAAACTACAGCTTCTTCAATGTTTACTGCAAAACGAAAAATGTAGTAAGCAAGTCTAGGGAAAACATTCAACCTCCTCAGCCATCGAAGAAATGCCAATTTAAAAACAAACACCAATTTAAAAAGCAGCAATATTGGTGTTCTTGTGATCAGGCTTTATCTCCATTCCTTTCTCTGTTCTCCTCTTTCTCAGAATCCCATTTTCCAGAGCTCTTTGCCAGCATTGCTCTGGATTAGGTTCTGCCCAGGGGAGGTGTTTGCATTAGATTTAGAAACTGAATGAGGAGAGGCATGGTTTCTCCTCTAGAAATGGAGAGAGGCAGATGCGGAGCATCAGCAGATGGTGAGCATGAAGGTTGCAGGGGTCCCCAGGCTCCCCTCCGTAAACCACTTGTAAACCACAGGCAGCTGTCATCACTGGTGGTGCTTCCCAGGCATCTTGCAGATTCCTGATTCTCCAGGTGCTAGCAGTGAGCTTGGGAGCTAAGGCAATGAGGATTTCCAATGGTCTGTAAGCACCAAATCCCACATTTCTCCAGGGAACAAACAAGGATGCATGTTTTTTTATGGCCTAACCCTGAAAGTCAACCAGTATGATTTTTGCCATTCTCATCATTTGGGATGATTTGCTGTCTCATTAATACTGAAGCCTCTGAGGTCCTTGAATCTGACTTTCTACTATTTGCAACTTGTCCTGTCCTTGGCTTGGTTTGCCTTTCTTGTTCCTTGTCCTATTTTATGTCAAATCCCATGACATGCTCGTTGGTGTTGTTTGAAGGTTTATGAGGTATCACACACATAGTACTATATGCATGTGCACAAGTATTATGCATGGCTCACTGAATTTTTAGACTTTATATATCTGGATACACCTATGTAATCACCACCATGAGACATAGAAGGATCTTTCTTGTTCCTTCCCATTCAATCTCTGTGTAAAAGCCCTGACAGTTGTGTAAGAGCAGCAAACTGTGTCCTGCCTCTTCTTACAAGGGCACAAATCCCTTTCCTGAGGACTACACCCTCATGACCTAGTTACCTCTCAAAGGATCCACCTCCTAACACCATCACACTGGGAGTTAGACTTCAACTTAAGAATCTGAGGAGGACACAAATATTCTGTCCATGGCAAATGGCAGTTCAATGGGAGTGTGAGCTACCCAAGCAGACACAGGTGCGTGTTTCCAGGATGTTGGGGAAGATCATTGGACAGATGTGGCCATCAATTGACCTGTGAGCTGGACCTGGGCACTGGGAAGCTCCATACCTCCCCCTGTCCTTGGAATATGGGCTCCACTTGCCTTTCCTGCTTCCAGAAGCTGCTCCAAGGATATAGCCTTG